TCAACTTATTTTTAACAAATGAGAGGAGGGCCAGCCTTTTCTGTGTCTTTGCCCTGTTACGCTAAGTTACACAGTGGCGTGAAACTGGAGATGAGCCTTATAAAATCAAAGTAAGATGTTTCTGGACAGCATTCTTTAGAAAGTAGTGCTGTAGAGCTGAGCCTACAGCTTCTGAACTGCACTGCAGCTTCCCCAGTCGTGCACAGACCAGTTCTAGCAAAAGTCAAAGATAACTTTGAATTCTTTGCTTCTTTTAAAGCTCCTGGGTAACCAAAGCTAACTTTGCCTGGAATAATGAGTTCAAGTCAGATAAATGCCGATATGGTGCATAATTACATATCTGCAGCTTGTTCTTGAGCCCGGAGGCTTGTGAGATTAGCTGCTTCACTGGTTTGTGCTCCAGCCTTGAACACTTGGCCGCATGTTCTCTCCCTGCATCCCTGTAGAAGGGTCCATGTGAGCAGCATTCAGGGAGATGGTGCTTTCGATCTTTGTTAGCAGCTGCCCAGCCGTGCTGTGTCCCTTTTCTCAGATTGTGCAGGGTATTTTCTGGCAACCCTTTTACCAGACTAGCTTGTATTTTGGTGCATCTGCAGGCCCCCTGAGCACAGGTAGACAACCTCCTGAAATATGTCAGTGGCACTGTCCCGCTGAGGATTACAATATGCTTTCTAGGTGTTGTCTCTGTGTGTGGGACTGTATTAAATATGAGCGTGCTTCCCTTATGATTCCTTCCTTTATAAGATACAGGTTTGCAGATTCATTTGTTCCAACAACTCATGAAAAGCTAACGTGGAACAGACAATTTCTTAGAAAGGTGTATTATAAATTTGATCACGCTTTACAGTCAACGCCACGAGAATCCATATTTTCACTGGCCAATGATTTAAATTGAAATGAGACACCTCTACATCTTTTGGAGGTCTGCAATTTTATCTTTTAATTGCTACTGTAATAAAGAGGTGGGTTTTTAAGCCTGCCTGTTGCTGTGATAACCTCATCTTCTCCTGGCCCCCTACAAGACCTCCTCAGCTTTTATCTCTAAAGCACCAAGTTCTTTGAATGAGTTTTCATTTGTTCCCAGCTAGATAAGCAGTATCCTTGTAATATCCACTTGCCACACTGTCTTCAGTGACGCATAGAGCCTGTGTGGTTAAGTCTTTATCAGTTTAGCGCTTATCAGAGTGCACAAATGCAGCCTGGACCCTTGTATTTCCAGGGTTACATTAAAGACTAGTCTGCCCCATATGCTAACACAGGCTCCATTCAGAAAAGTGTTTAAGCATGGGTATAGTCCAATTCAGTGGTAATACAGTTAGTCTTTTCCTTTGTTAAGAATATGCTTAAATGTTTCCTCAGATTAGAACTTGAGGTTGGCTGACTTACCTTATAAGTATATATCTTTTAGGATGCATACATAGAATGTAATTGTCAAGATGGAAATAGGTTCTGATGTTGCATAGCTCTATGCACCTATTGCAGGTGGTGATATTGGAACAGGAAGCACCAGTTTCCCAGTAGTACGCAAAGTTTTGAAACATGAAAAATATTGACATAGGAAAATGTGCTGAAGAAAGTGCTGTTGTGCACATGCACTGCATTGTAAGCTCTCACTAACTCAGATTTCATGCAAGAAGATAACTTATGGATAATTGAAATATGGTTTTCCCTGGGATTCTTTTTCCTTAGTGTGAATTCAAATCACATGCACTTATACCATATTCAGTCATCCATAGAATAGAAACCCAGTGATGACACCAGTGCTGTCTGCTAACACAGTTAGTAATCAAGGAGTAAATGTAGTGGAAGGAATACTGAGTCACCTGTCCTCCTGCCCTCCAACCTCAACTGCTCAGTATTGCTGTAGTCGCTGATGTAACTGGGATTGACAGCTAACCAATCACTGTGGAGTTGTTACCAAGTGTGTTCTTGCAGAGGTGACAGACATTCAGCCCCAGGAGGGAAGAGCTTTGCTTCAGGAGTTTTCCAGTTTGTATTTGTGTTTGCTTTGGGGAAGAGAAGTCGAGGAGCGAGAAACCCTGGAACACTGGCAGTGGTTGTAGGTCATGACCTGTGACAGTGAGTCAAAACCTTGCCTTGGTGATTTCTGCCAGATGGCTTAGGGCTTTGCTTCCCCAGAGTCCCAGCTGCTTGCAAGAGAGAAAACCAGGTCTTTGGGGAAAGAGGGGTGAGAATATGTTTGGGGTTTTTTCCTCTAAAAAATTTCCTGGATTAACAGGTATCATTTGTGTCAGAGTTGCATTTGAGGTGCATGAAAATACCAGTACCACTTATGACTTTCATACTTACCCTACTGAAAGCATCAAAGAAATAAAGCTATTTGGATACTTGTATCCTTCCAAAGTGGGCAGGAAATACTTCCAGATATGCAAGAAAAGCACCAATCACAACAAGATGCTGAAAATTTAAGGGACTTGAATATCCCTGCCTGCCTTCCTTCAGTGCAGCCATTTCTGTCTGTACCAGTGAGTGCCTGGCATCTGATTGCTTTGGTCACCTGAACTGTAGATAAGAAAAAATCAGGACCAAGACATCTGATATGTTCTTGAAGAAGCAACTTTCTGGTTTACTCGAGAAAGAGTTTTAGTTAACTTCCCATTCACTAGTTCTGTGAATCCACTGTGTGGTAGGTGTGAGCCTGTCACAGCTTCCTGTTGGGAATCTGGGCTGTTTCTACCCTCAGATATGTGGTTGATTTTTGAACTGCAGAGATCCTTGGGCCCATCTCCAGTGTGGCAGCCAGGATAACAGCCATTATACATTGTAAATGCTGAGTTTCAATTCATATACTTTTTGTAAATGATTAATAGCTGCTTTAGTATATAATTGTTAACCCTAGTGTGTGTAGTGTCCTGACCTGTAAAATGCTTATAACATCTGTGAATAGTTTATTGCTTCCATATAAACTACTTATAAATGGAAACTTAGTACAATGTGTGATTAAGCATGGGGACAGAAGCAGAGGACAGGATGTCTTGGCCTCTATTACTGGGATCCACTGGATTCTCATGATGTGGCAGAGATGTGAGACCCTGTGTAACTCTGAGAGTAGAGGCAGGAAATTGCCTCCTTTTGCACTTGTGCTGTTCAGTGTACGTTAGCTGGAATTTGTCAGAGCCCTTTGGTCTCCAATGCCTTTGGGATTTATCTTAAGAATACAGGTAAGAAGGTATTATGTTGACTGGTGGCTGGAAGAAAGTGGGCAATACTGCCTAAAAAAAAATACTGCCAGTTTCAGTTTCAGTGCTAGAAGGCACTGGAGGGCTCTCGGAGGAGATGTGTTGTATTCCCAGTGCTGACCTGGGTGGTGCTGGAAGAGTCGGTGCCTTCCTTTCTCAATGCCTTTCCTTCTCCAGCTGCTTTGTTTGATACATCTGTCTATGTCACAAATGGTTTGGGGCTGGGTCTGAACTTCATACTCAACTCCGTCCTTCAGAGACTACCCACACATATATAAACTACAATATACCAAAACATGAGTAATAGAAATCACAAATATAGTTCAGTATAATGATGCTAAACAGGTTTTCCTTTATTTTCTCTTTCATCTAACAATGCAATGGAGCCTAGGAAAGAGAGAAGGGTTATGAGCAGTTCTGTTCAGCTTTTGCAGTGCAGTTTATTTAGCACCACTGCAGGATTTAACATGGTAACTCTTTAAAACTTAGCACACTACTCAGAGGTAGAATGTGATACAGGTGTCTGGTAAACAGATGTTCCAGCCTTCCCAAACTGCTGCGAAAGTGTGCATCATTCTCAATAAATATGGAAGCAGCTGTGGCTTCAGAAGCTTTAGTTTCCTGGACACTTTGGACATTTATTCCACTTTTGCAATCATGGCTGTGGTGACCTAAAGATACAAGTAAAGCATAGTTAACACTGATAGACAATACCTTTTATTAAACCACCTTATAACATTAGAAAAATCAATTTGCTTTCAAGCATCTCGTCCTTGTATTTATTGATACTTCAACTATTGCACCTAGCCAAAGACTGGACATAATGCAGAAGGAATCTTCTCTGTTGTAGGCTTCTGACAGTTAAGTGCATCTTGTGGCTTTTTCATACTAGTTTAGCTCCTTTAAGAAACAAGGCTAGAAGTCCTCTTAGGAGGGTTTCATTAAAGTGTTGATGATACAAAACCACAGAAACTTGCAGTAAAATTGGTATTTAATGCATTGTCAAAACTGGCTGAAATTAGGTTAGTGAAAACACGTAGAAATCGCAGCCTTATCCTTCTTTTTGGAAGGAAACCACTAGTGGCTCACAGTAATAGATCAGGACAGTTTACTGTCAGGATTCTCATTGTACTGGTAGTGAAAAGGTGCTACATGCTTTAATACTGGTGATAGGCATTTCATTGCTGCAAGATGGTGAGGCACTGGAATAGGTTGCCCAGGGAGGTTGTGAATGCTCCATCCCTGGCAGTGTTCAAGGCCAGGTTGGACGAGGCCTTGGGTGATATGGTTTAGAGTGAGGTGTCCCTGCCGATGGCAGGGGGGTTGGAACTTGATTATCTTAAGGTCCTTTCCAACCCTAACTATTCTATGATTCTATAAGATCACCAGAAGATACCTAGAAGGAAGAGCTTCAAGGCTCAACAACAGAGTAAGTCAACAAGCTCAGCAGAGGAAGGGGTTTTGTTTAGAGTATTCACTGTCTGGCTTTTAACTTGACTCACTTTAGGCAGCTGGTGTTCAGAAGAGCTCTCCAGGTGCTGGATGGCCAAAATGAGCACCTGTCCTTAAGGGATTATGTTTTTAAAGTAAAACTTGAAATGGGCATTCTGGCCAAAACTGTGCCTGAAGGGTGCAAACCCCAAACAGAACTCGCGAGTCTGCTATGAGGTCTGAATGAAAAATCAAAGGGAGGAAAGCAGTGCCATACTGGATGAGTCTCATGGCCTGTCCCCTGCTGTAGCACACCAGCCCAGTGGGGGAGCTCAGTGGGGATTTCCAGCAGGGGTGAATTCAGGTGTAATTCAGACTTTCTCATTATCTGATCTCCGGGTTGGTTCATTCTTTTTCCGTGTAGCTGGCTATCTATCACATTTGACAGAGAGATTGCTATGACAAAATGCTAAAAGCTTTTGCTCTGGGCTATTTTTAATCCACTGCAGGTGAAAGATCAGAACACATTTTTGGAAGATTTATGGGCCAGTGTTGTGCTGGGCAGCATAAATGGGAGTTGACAAACTACAGGACACGAGGTTTAAGCCATTGACCTCTGACATTAGGAGTCATCACAACTGTATGTTATCACATTTATGTTCAGGAGTTAAAGGCTTTTGCTCTGAGGGAGTCTTGTAAATGCTTAGCAGAGGTAGAGAAATGCAGTTGTTCCTCAGTCTTTAAGCCTTATTGTTGGTGATGAGTAGTTAAATCTCTCAGGCCACCGTGGATTTTAGTGCAGAATATTTGTAAGTCATCATTAAGTCTTTGGGCTGTTTGTGCAGAATAACACATCTGTTTTTCTTGAGAAGGCTGTCGCTACTCAGTGACAGTTCAGCTTGAGCAGACTCTGCAGTTTTTGCTGCTCCTTTAATAGTCTAGTATTCCAAGCTGCTTCCCAACTCCAGGATCTCTGTTAACTGTGTCCATTTGCGAAACAAAAGCCCTGCAAAAGCAGAAAGGCTTTGGGATGCATGGGACACTGTTCTCAAATCAAGTATGTACTTCAGTGTTCTGATGAACTCAACCCCAAAATCCTGCAGTGCATTGTAATGTGATAGTGGAGGGAGGATGGGTGCATGCAGCTGCGCCTCTGCCTCTGACACACAGCATCTAAAACACCAGCAGGCCATTTTAGAAAGCAGGGAGGAGACGAATGAAGAGAGGGTGAAGCTGACAGAGCAGAAGGTGAGTTGGAAGTGATGACTGAAGGGAAGGCCTGAGCTTACTGCAAGTTGAGGCACTGCTCTTGACAGTCACCAGGCTGGGACCTGTTCCATGTAGAGGATTACAACATCCCATTGTCTTTATTGTGTGTCTGGAGATTCTTCAGGCTTGTAGCTGACCAGCTGACCCTGCAGGTTCAGGGGTAGGCTCTGTGCAGTACTGAGTTCATCATGCAACACAAGCTTTCCAAATTATACATCATTTTGAGGAGCACAGAACCAATTAGTATATGGATTTGTTCTGCATGTGCAAATCTTTTCTTGGGCTAAGGAAGTGTCATACAGAGACTTGGCTGAAGAAAAGAAGAAAACAGTTTAATCTTATATTGTAATTGTCATCCTCTGACTAATGATAAGCGATATTATGGCCTGCATATCGGCCGTAATTAAGCAGTGAGACATAACAAGGTGTATGTTACAGAGAGATAACACAGTGCTTAAGAGCCAGTGACCTGCAAAGCACGTTATCTCCCAGCTGCACAAGCCCTACACAGTCAGTTTGTACACATGGTGGTGGCAAATCCACCAGCCCCTCTTCCCCACCTTCATTCTGCTTTTCAAGGTGCAGAAACTGTGAAGAATTCTTGTGTTACTGGTTGTGTTGTGTGATGTTTAAAAGAGCTCCCTTTTTATATCAGTCAATTTCTGCACATGTAATAAGCCAGTATGAAGCATTCCAAGTTATCATTCAGTGGAGCTCTGGGAAATTAGCTTCACTTAAAATGAGCCCCTTCAGTGTTTTGTTAGACAAGTAAGTATGGAGCATGCCGGGAAGGATCCAAGCACCACTGACAGCAACTCCAAGAAAGGTTTTGTGTTGTTTTCAAAGATAGCAGAGGGAGCTTTTTGCTGGAACACAGTGTTAGATGAGACTTGTTTCAAAGTAGAATTGATTTTTAGTTAGAATTAAAGATTGAAAGCCTGAAGCTTGGACTGTTTGTACTAAACATGAAAGCCTTCCTTATCAGGGTATCATTGCACATGTAGGTGTCCTACGTAGGCTGACCAAGCTGATGCTGCACAAGAGTCTTTGAACAATCAGATAAATGTCTTGAGGCTTATTCCTTATCTTACCCCTAATGAAACTTTGCAGGGTCAATAACTTGGTTAATGTTGATCAAATTTTCAGTTTAAGTTCAGTCATGGACGTGGATCTACAGCCTCTTGATATTGGGCAGCTACATATGCTTGTACAATTAATACAAGATACAGTAGATCAAAGTGCTTCATTTTGTTCCTATGTCACAGTCTCTTGCACTTCCTTATTCATGTTGTTTCTCCCCCAGCCATACAAATTGAATTCCAGATAGCAAATTAGAATGTCACTGTCATCTCTGTAAGCAAACTTCTGACAATTTAGCCTAGGCAGAGGGAGAAAAGCAGCAGTGAGCTGAGGTAGGAAGTGTCTTATCTCATGTCTGTTAGCCAATAATTGCCAGAACAGACTGTGTATTTTCTGATTTCCCAGTTTTTTGGTAATGTTCCCCTTTGAAACAGGTGGATACTTCTTTAGCAAAATGCAGGATTTTAGCAGTGCACAAGGACAGTCCTCTCATAGCCTGGTCAGAAGCCGAGATGGGTTACTGGGCTTTGAATGGCACTTAGCCTCTCTGGACACTGATGTCAGTTGGATGTCCTAGATATTGCTGTATTAAAAGCATAAAGTTAGGCTTAATGCACGAACAGAGAGACAAGGCAGAGGCAACAGAGACAGATGTCTCTTCCTCAGAGCCCTTCTACTGGGTGAGACTGTTTCTGATTACAGCTGTAGCACTGTAAATGCCTGCTAGATGTCTGGTGATAATCCATTCAAAGCAATTACAAGGCATCCGTCACCAGCAGGGTCTGAGCCACAGGCTTCTTATCTGGGAAAATTGATGGAAGAGAAGGGGGGAGTGAGGGAAGAAATCAATGCCTTTCACCAATGTTATCTGCCAAATTGAATTAAGCAGCACGGGATCCCTGCTTTACACACTGCAAGAGCTGGAGGTTGAAGAGTCTGTTTGTAGTAAGCTTGAGTTCATGGGCAAGGCAGGTAGGAGCTGAGTGTTGGTTCTACTCACTGGCAATTTCTTGGGCACCTACTGATGTCAGTGGAACTCGTGTGTGCAAAACGAGTTCAGAACTTAGCAGCACCCAGAGCCGTTAACCTGGTAGCACCACTTGTGACTCTTGTGTCTGCTTATGGTCTTAATGTATCGTCTCATGTTCTTTTACTTTTTTTCTGGGTGTAGCCAAGAGTATCTCGTTGCTTGCCACATCCGAGTTTATACAGGCAAGGGTTGTAGAGAAAGCAACAGCAAAGATACACGAATGGGTTCCTCGGAGACAGTGCTAGCAAAACTAGTGTTTAGAGGTGGTGCATGTGTTGAGTCTGATATTTACAGAAATGAGCAGATTTTGGAACAAATCTGACCTCCTTTCAAGGCAGTAAAACCATGGTTTCTTTTGACCCATGTAGGTTCCCTCTTGTGTTGCAGGGTTTTTCTCCTGCAGTTGATGCATACATGAGATGAGAGAGTTGTCATCCGGGGAGAGTGCTGGGGGGCTGGAGGACCAGGACAGCTTGGGCAGAATAGGCTCTGGGGACCTAAAAGCATAAAATCCTCAAGGTTCTGGACTGGGGAAACAAATACAAAAGCAAGTTGAAGCAGATGAGCCAGACAACTTGTGGGTACTGGACAGAACAGTTCACCTAAACCAGGCCAGTGCAGAGATCTGTGGAAACCTTCTCCCTCCCAAGTAAGTATGTGTGGGAATCTGCACTGCAGTCAGGTGTGCTTAAAGTGCACATAAGCCATCTAATAAAGATTCCCCTGGAGTATACGTCACACAGCTGTGTTTCATTGTATTTGTCCTCTCTTCCTACTGACAGCGCCTTTAGAGCCACATTACTCACATCTCATCATTAGCTCTGACACTCCTGGCTTTTTACTGCTTCCCTGGTTCCTATCATCTTCTGCAAGCTTTATCCCTTCCGTGCATGTTGGCCAAGGTGTATTTCTGTAGTATCTTTTCAACAAATGAACATGGGAGCATGTAAAAAGCACAGTTTGGGTGCCACGGCAGTAACAAGGGCTCTCACCTTTTTCTACTGAAAATCCCTACCAAACCTCTACTCCATTTTTTTTTTTATGGGTTCAGTTTTCCCTTTGCTCCATCTGTTTGATATAAAGAACGGTGCTGCTTGCACTAAAATGGGAAGGACCGAGTGAGGTGCAGTGCTGAACTACTGTTTAATCCTCTTTCAGAGCATTTTCATTTAGTGTATAGACCATGTTCAGAATGAGCAGCTCCAAGAGTATATATATGGGCTTGGTTGGGGGTTTTGGGGTTTTTTTGTTTCCCTTTTTCTGTGGTGGCTGTTGAATGAGCCATGAATATGTTTGACTTCAGGCCTCAGGAAACTTGACTTTTGTCTCTACGTCCAACAGCTGGTTTGAGCATGGGGCAGTTAACTCGTTTGGCTGCTGATCTCCCCTGCCACCCCGTTTGTTGTTCCTGTTGAATGCAAGTTCATTGGGGCAGGGCCTGTAGCTTGCTAAGGACTTGTTGGGAACTGAGCACAGAGGGGTCAGGGCCCCTGTTAGACTTCTAAACTACTTCCACTTTGTGAAATGAACTCAAGGGGTGCTTCAGCATGCCACAGTCTGCGAGGCAGGTTCCTGTGTGCACTGCCAGCATTAACTGAACTCAGTATCAGTTGGTCTCAAAGGAGTTTTGTAGGGCTCGGGATGAACGGATCCCTGGATTGTAGGTTGGGGCCTGGGCAGCAGTTAACTGAGCCGTGCTCCTTACCTGTGGCCCACTGCAGTGATGGGCAGTGCCTGAACTGCATCGGTGGAGGCAAGTTGCCAAAAGAAGGACTACACAAATCCAGGTGAGGTGAGGAAAATGGAGCAAAAGAAAAGCTTTCTACGAGTGACTGTGAGTGGTGCGGACACCTCCATTTCTTGCTGCCCAGTAAGAAACTCTCTGACAGGTACCACTTAATGCCTTTGGCTCTTCCCAGTATGTCCCCAGCTGCCTGTTCACTCACAAACCACTTCTGAACACCTGATTTCCACTGCGAGATGAAACTGGCACCCTTGATACACAGCTGCAGCTGGCAAAGGAGAAGCTCTGGGGGTTTTGTGTGATTTTTGGTTTTATACATAAGCCACTAGGGAAAAAAACTAAGTAATGGTGTGGGTCTCTTCAAATTTTGCCAGCACTAACCCAGAGCTCTGTCGATCTGTGACAGTCACCTCGGATGTACAGCTCCCATCGGACAGTCTTGTGTTCAGGACAGTGGAGGAGGCAAATGACATACACATTTTCTTGCTTTCTGTGTTTGTGCTTGTAATCTAGGCAGTTAAATGAAAGCTCCTAGCATAGAGTAGCCAGATGAATTTGGGATAGCAGAAAAGGGACAGTCCAAGAATAGGGATGGAGTCCAATAGGACTGGGTAGCTGGATTTAGGCATTGGAGATTTCCATATGCGAGGCCAAGCCTTAATTCCAAGTTAGCCTCAGCTAACGTCAGAAGGGGACTAAACCAAACAAGGTTTACTCCTAAGCTCTTGCAAACTCTGGAAGTGCAGCTTTGCTGCAGTTGGTCCCTGGTGAAGAGCACTCATTCAGAATGCACAAAACTGAACACGTCCTGGGCAGTTCTGGCAAGAGCAGGAGGGGCATTGCTCTGGCTGCCCCTCACAAAGCAGGCTGCAGTGAGTCACAAAGAGGAAGCAGAGATGATATTTTTATCTAAGATGTTTGATCATTCCCTGGCTTTTCCACTGTTTTACAAGGGCATGTTAAGAAATGTACCAGAGCTGTGGAAATTCTGCAGCCATTTCTCAGAAAACCATGAGAGAATTACTTTAACATGTTTCCATCTCCTGCTTTTTTGCATTTTTCCCCTCTTGTATTTCTTTTTCTTTGACCAGGTACAAACTTTTATATGCTTACAGCTCTCTGTATTCAACAGACACTTCACTGCAGTGCTCGACTTCTCCCATGAAGCAGTACACATCGCTTCCAATGGAATTCCACTCTCCTTTACCATATCATCATGTTGCAGACCTGAAAATAGCTCTGTTTAAATGATGCCTTCAAGAGGATTATACCAGGCTGTGTGGGGAACAGCATGAACAAGGTACTGTCTTGACTCAGCTGCAGGTGGTTGTGTACCTTGGCCCATTGAAGGTGCTAAGGTGATTGACTGGGGGGGGGGGGGGGATTAGGTATGCCAAAAAAACTAAGGCACAGCAGGAAAGCTGAGCGTCCCTCCAACATCTGCGTTGCAGTGCTCTTTCCACCTACAGACAAAATGGGGTTTGGTGGTGGGTGTATGTGAGGGTGTGTATACGTGTCTATCAGAGGATGAGTATGTGGACAAGTTCCATTGGCCTGCAAGCTACAATGGGTTAGACAGTTTATAAGCTTTGTCTTATATGACTTGGCTGCACATGCAGTAAGTACCCATCTAGTAGAATTAAAATGCAGTAACATTTCTGTCACCAGCTCTCTGCGGTGGCACGCATCGTGTGAGGCACTGTGCCAGGGCCAGCGGTGAAGGTTGTGCCTGCGGGTGTCCAAGCCAGAGACATCACTCATCTCTCCCCATGAGGCCACGTCCACCACCTCACACCTTCCCTTGGGGAGCTTGGCCTGGGTCACCTTCCCAGCACTGAAGTAAAGCCAGGGCTTCACCAGCACATGTGGTCACCTCCACTGGTGCTTTGGAGACCTCTCCATGCACAACACGCACAAGGCCAATGGCAGTAACCATCGGGTACACGCTTGCAGGTATCTAGTTCCTGTCTGTTCATGGGGTTAACTTCAAATGACAAAGCACTGACCATTCCAGCGGGTACCTCACCTGCTGGGGGACACCCGAACACAGCTCCAGCACAGCCAGGCCAAAAACCAAACCACAGCTCCTGATTCTTTTCTGGACAAACAATTTTATTTTAGGTAATGCGTCTATACACTGTACATTCAGTCACTGTGGTATATAAGCATAGCTATTTTCATACATAATCTCATAAAGTCCTTTATTTTACAATATTATCTGCTTCGAGGGGAGGAGATGTGGAAAAGGGGGTGGAAAAGGACTATCAAGGTACACAGCGAAATAGATAAATATGCCAAGCTTTTTTCTTATTTTTTTTTTAAATCAGGCATTTATAAACAAGAAAGCATACATTACTTACATAAAAATAGTTCTAGAATAGTAGAGTAAGTCATAATATTGTCATTAGCAGCAGCATAGGAGAGACCAGGATAACAAAAATGTGCTGAAATGCTATTGGCTATTATAAATGTAAAGATTCATTTTTCTTCAGTTGAAAAAATGTCATTTCTGTGAGTTGTTTTGATAAAAAAAAAAAACAAAACCCAAAACAAAACAACCAAACCAACAAAAAACCTCTCTAAAACACGTGGACTGATGGGGCAGAGGGGGAAGGAACCAATCTTTTGGTAATAAAATACTTTACAGTGAAAACGAGGACAAAGGAAATGCCAATGGTGGAGGAGGGCGAACCCACAGCGGCAGCTTCCGAAAAGGGTTTGTTGTGTTGTTCCTCACAGACAGCAAAGGTTCTTCTCAGTTAAAAACACAACTCGTAAAACAAGACAGCTACCAGGTAAGAAAGAGTTTTGAAAAAGTAAACACCATATACACTTATAATACAACAGTGTAAAATGAAAACAAGTATTTACAGGTTGACTTGACTTCTAACTGTTTCTTTTTTACATTGGCTAGTTCTGTTTGAAAAGCAGAATATTATGTATACGAGTTAGCTGCTCCATAGATATGAATGTTATTGCTGTTGGTTTTTTTTCCCTTCGTTAAGTCTTCTTTCAGTAATAGAAACAATGAGTAATTAAACTGAATATACAAGTATTAAGTAATATATTTTTAAGCAGAGGGAGAGTCAACAGCCTGTAGGAAACACCTCTTCTCCCTGTTAACTTCTTAAAGGAAACTAACGAGCAGATGAAAGGCAAAGCTGGGACTTTACAGTTCCGGCCCTTGGGGGCTGGAGTGCACATGGAATGCAGCGGGACCCAGAGTGAGCCCAAGGACAAGCCCAGCTCTTCCCCGCCAGCGGGTGCTCCCTGAAATTACACACACAGCTCCCCACCTCCAGCCTGCCCAAGGGGGGGTCGCTGAAGATTCCCACCATCTGACAGCCTGCTTCTGGGAGTTAGTGTCTCTGGGGCTGTCTGCTGAGGATGTGGAAATGAACGGCATGCTCAGGAATTCGGAATTAGAAATCAATTCCATATTCAGCAGAAATAAATGGTAAAATGTACTTCAGAAGGACAAAATTCCTGAGGATGGAATTCCTGTCCTTCAAGGCCTCTCCTGCCAATTAACTGCTGGTGTGGAACACTTGTTCCCAGTCTTCCTGCACCTTATTTAGGCTTTTGGATTTTAAACCTGAATTTATGCAAGTGTTTTTATAGCATGTTCTCACTCCCAAGGATCAAATGCTTTTGAGCCTGGACCTCAACCATGGTAAAGTTCATCTGTCATAGATTATAGAATTACTATAACACTTGGCAAAAGGACACAACAGGTTTGTAACAATGGTTGTAACTTTAATTTGTAGGCTTCTTTCTTGCCAAGCTTAATCATAGACTCATAGAATGGTTTGGGTTGAAGGGACCTTAAAGCTCATCCAGTTCCAAACCCCTGCCATGGGCAGGGACGCCTTCCACTAGAACAGCTTGCTCCAAGCCCAGTCCAGCCTGGCCTTGAACACTGCCCAGCCCATCTCATGTGAAGCACAGGTGCTCGTGGCTGTTTGACAGGACCATTTGCTACTGATAGATCAGCCCATGCACTGCTCTGGGTTTGGGGGTTATTTATTTATTTTAAAAATGCAGAATTCATTCATTTAGGAGCTAAAAGCATCATCTGCAGAGCAGAGGTTGTGCCAGTGACCACGTCTGCTTCCTGCGCACTCAGAAAGAGCGACCGTGTCCTGGGCAGCAGGCGAGTGAGCCACTTCCTGGGAAAAGGTGGCTGGAGGCAGGCACGGTGCCAGCTCTTGTTGGGTCACAAGGGGAGAGCAGGTGAAAACCCCAAAGGAACCAAGTGTAAATCGTGAGGGGTCAGACATGCTGGGGGGACGTACATGTCCTCGGTGTAATTCCATAGCGTGGCAGTGAAACAGAGCAAGTGAGTGCTGATCCAGCATCAACTAGAGCTAAAGTTACTCTGTTTCCCTTGAACAAATAAGTGAATAATACAGAGCTGGAAATCATAAGGCTGAGAACATTTTTATGCATACTGCATAACAAAATAAACCCTTTACATAAGACAGTAATAATGCCCATTAATGAATATACTTATGGCAGAGACTTTAATTCCATGCATATGATTTAATATCGCAGAAAAAAAACATACAAAGAAAAAAACCCCAAAACAACAAAACACATAAAAAAAAAACCAATACACCTGCTTAAGCATAATCAAAATTCCTTTTGCATTGCACTTTAGAGGGGGAGATCTGCACTAGCCTCAGTCTCCGGCATCCCAAACGCACGAGGGCAGAGCCCCAGAGCAACGGACAGTTTGCCGTCATTTACTTGGTGGAACTGCTTCTTGCTCCCAACAGTTTTACATTGTCCCAGTAATTCTACTCCTTTCATATTTCTTCTTTTTTTTGTACCTAAAACATATATATGAACTTCTTTGTTAATGCTCACAGTTATTATAATGGTTATTATAATGGTTTCAAGCAAACAGCTCTTGTTTAGGAAAGAAAATAATCTCTCTAATGTACTGTAAGTAAATAGGATAATTTCAGGATTGGAAGCCGCTTTCTGTCTACTGAGAAATAATTTGTAAGCTTACAGAGTTTGCAGTAATGTCCAAAAGCAAATGAAGGTTACTGGAAAGAATGGTTCTTTGTTTTGAGTAACTTCTGGGGAGGATGACCCATTGGGGGGGCTTTTCTTCATTTTTTTTCCTTTTATTCTGTAAGGTCACCAGAGTGTCAGCGTTGCCTCTGGAAGATGCTGAGAGTTAAAACGAGCTGGAAGGCACATCTGCAGCCCCAGATCAATTTGTTCACGTTCCGCTGATGAGCTTGAGTGTGACAGGTGAGTGTTTAGGGGTGAAAAGAACTTTCTCTTGTTCAGTAAAGCACCAACGTTCTTTGTTCAGCTCTTCTGGGAGCTGCCTCCCGAGCTCAGCGGGACTCAGACCCCGCTGGGGAAGTCATGTGGGCAGGATTCCACCCCAGGGGATGCTCCTGTGGGCGATGGTGCGAGGTGGCAGCTGGTGGAAAACTGGGCTGATGATTCCCACGCCTGCCCAGTGGGGCAGAGCCTGGACTGCTCAGCTTGTAAACTTGAGAAATGTGGAATAAAACGCAGAGTAAGATCCTGACAAAGTGCAGTTTAACGAAAAACCAACTAAAAACCGACCACCACCCCCCCCAGCGAGCCGCGGTGCCTGCAGCCTGCACCCGGACCCTGGGGCTGCGGCTGGGATCCCAAAATTAAAGTAATTTCTCTTTTTAAAAACAAAAAAGTTTTGTTTTTTCAATGATGTAGGCTTATTCACAGCAGCAAACATGTTTTCTTGTCTGTAGTATCTGATTAACGCGATGTTGCACTCCCCTTGGGCACAGAACTCTAGACTGACAGTTCATAGTAAAAAGCAGGTAAATACTGAATTTATGGGAAGATGGTGCAACAAAGGTGAGTTTTCCAGAAAACTGACGTTAAGATTTCAGAATGGCTTCAAAACACATTCATCTTTTGTTTTATTTCTCAACTGACTTACTTAACGGATTATCCATTTCCTTCTTTCTTTTCCATAAGCTGAAGTGCTCTTGGATGAAGTGAGTCCTTTGAACACACCGAGTAGTGAGGATGTCTTTAGAAACGATGGTGTGATGTCAAACACTGAAGTCTGTAAGGCTGGGCTTGTAAGTATCGCGTGTACTCTTCTCATCCCCCTCCCTCTTTCCAGTCCTGCATCTCCCTTGCTTCTTGTGTTCAGGACAGTAAACGAAGAGAATTCTTTCTAAGTTAAAAATCAAAGCACTCCGAAATTGTCATATATCCGTGATGGGATTAAACTGATGGCTTCCGAGGTGGCTGGAAAACTGCTAATGAAATGGCATCATCACCAGAGGGCTTCTGCATTGAGAATCCCCAAATCTATAACAAGTCATTAAAAATTGTGCATCGAAGGTTGTTTTTTGTTTTGCTTTGAAAGGTTCATTATAAAAATCTCATTAATTTTTTAATACCAAGTCTGTGTAATGAATTATTTTAAATAGCTTATAAGAAAAGTTTGTTTGTTTTTTGAATTTCAAAACGTTCCAACAGGCAACAGGGCAACATAAAACCCCTGCCCCACTTGCCTGCGCTGATTTGAGCTGGACGACACTGTTTGCTTGGAGTTTGCCAGTAGAAAATTTGCTGTGGACTCCAAAGTATTTTGTTTATAAACACTTTGTGTTTTCTAGGCACAGTAAGATGTTGTGCTATATGGATCGGGGAAAAAAAGAGGCATCATTCAGTGCTTCAGTTAGAGAGAGTAACATGTGCCTTCCAACTAGTACGAATCCATATTCAGAGCCCTGTGTGCCACGACACAACTACTCACACATGCACTTACACACGTCCCCACGTCCCCTCTCTTACTGTGCAGCTCTGGTGGGCTAGAGGGGTGGGTCAGTTCTCAAGGGCGCTTGCTGTGTTTTCACTGCTGGGGGGTTGACTGCTTGGTTTAGGCCACAGTTGTTCCTGAAGTTCCTTGACTACTTTTTCCAAGTGTTCCCGAGCCTCCCTTTCATGCATCAGGTCAGCCCGGAGCTGCTCCCTGTCGGCCTCTGCATGCTGGAGCTTGACCTGCAGGTCCTCGATCTGGAGAAAAGCACATTAAGAAACATAATAAACTGTTTTAGTATTTGAGCTCCAGTGTGGGTTTGTAGACTTTAACACAGACCAGGGCCTTTACACAAAGGGAAGAGACCACCAACAGCAGCTGCAGTATCCTCTGAGACCCTCTGTATCCCTCAAATGTAAGGAACTGTAAGGAGGTGAGATGGGTGTGGAGGATGTGGGGGGGGTGGTGTAGATGGTGAGGGGTGTGTGAGCATGGACATGAGGAAGCTGGGACACAGCACATCCTCTGAATGAACAGAACCTCTCCAAGCAACAGGGAAAATGCCCATCCTTTCAACATGTAAGTAAGAAGCTGAATGTTGGAAGGAACGGGATGGAACAGGCCCTAAGGTGTAGTAACTGCTCAGAAATGGATTTCACCCTTCCCGTTCTGTACTTCCTGGTAACTCAGCTCAAGCTCCAGGAGAGAAGGGTGTAAAGATGGCAAAAGCGGTCCCGGTTTGAAATACACAGTTTTAGGCCATGAAGAGGTAAGATCAGCTGTTACCAAGGACTGCCACTTAACAGAAAAGGAAAGCTCAGCCATTTGGGCTAACCCACCATGTAAACCCCCACCTGTCCCGACTGGGATCTCACTACCAAGAACACAGAAAGGCCTAAAGCACACTGCTGTGCAGTAGGTATTGGCCATTGAGTACTTTGGCACTTACACATTTACAGCCCCGAACCTGTTGTGTTACTTCCTCCCCTGCAGCCTGAAGCTCTTCCTCTCATACTGAGCCTCTCTCAAGAATTGTGGTTTCCGCAAAAATAACCAGAAGTGATGAACAAACCCCAGTGATGAACTCCACCTGTGCCGCCAAATGCAAGAGGAAAAGGGGCTAGAAAGCCTTGCTTTAAAATGTCTTACATGACTCCAGAGCTGAAGTCATATGGATGGACCTCTGTAAGCTTCGGGCTTTGAAGTTATTGAAGGTATTTTTCCACTCAGTTCAATCCAGAAATCTCTGAGGGAGCTGCCAGACAAAGCCCCAGGTCCTGAGGCATTGGTAGTGATGGGGTGTTTGCCCCAGTGCAGCGCTGGCAGGGCTGTGCTGTGTCCTCAGGCTGCTCGAGAAGGACAAACCTATGGATATTCAGCTTTCTGAGGTGACTTCAGCCTTTTGCATCAGGAACCCTCCTCTACTCCCTCACAGGGAATGGTCCCACATTCCCAGCACTTGCTGGTGCCCTGCCCTGGTTGCTGCTGGGTGGAAGCCAGCTGCCGGTAACGCCCAGCACGGCAGCACGGCCTGGTTATGTTTAGTCTGGACAACTCTTATCAGTGAGACATCCTGCAAGGGCAGGAGGAAGCCCACACCATTTCCTGCTGCTGCACCCACAGAAGCTCTCCCAGCCCTGGCAGAGCACTGCTCCCCTTCCCGCGCCCAGCTGCTGGCTGCACCTCTGGGGTCCCCCTCCCTTAAAGTGACCACACCAGCTGTTTGCAGCTCATGTGCTGGGTCACAACACACTATAAAGCACGTATGTGCAACAACACTCCTGGTAGAAAAGTTCCTCCAGTAAACATCGGCTGGAGCAGTCCCTTTAAGTGTGTATGTAGCAGGTAAGCCTGCAAATATGGCACGTGTGTGTATGTGCATTTAAATTCAGCCAAGCTGAGCCTGCCCATGCTTCAGAACCCACTGTTTGCAAGTGGAACTGAAATCTTGGCCAGCGTTTGTCTGTCTCTGTAAATGGTGATGTCCGACTGACAAACGTGCCTGGCACTGGGCAGACCTGCAGGACTAACAGAAGGAACACTGCCTTAGGGCTGTGAGCCACAGTGATGGGGGCAAAGACCCTGCACAGGCAGGAGCTGGGCTTGTGTCCTATCAGACACAAGAAGGCCACTGCCATTAGGGAACAGACACCTGAGCTACCCACAGGAAGGGTTACTTACTTGCTGCTAGAATTAAAATACTCCTGGTGTGCAGGTCTTACCTGGGCCGAGTACTTGGCACGGAGCCTGCCGGCTTCACAGCCCTTGTCGCACACCCGGATCTGCCTGGCTTGTTCCAGTTCCCTCTTCAGTCGTATCCGAGACTCATTCGCTTCCTTCATTTTCTTCTCATTCTCAGCTCGCAGACGTTCAATCTCTTTCCTTAAGTTGCGCTTCGCCTCTGTTGCTTCTCTCAGTTTCTCTTTCTTTGCCACCCGTAGGAACTCCAGCTCCTAGAATACAAAAGCCGTCCACTTGTGAGCACAGACTGAGTCAGTGCACGGGAACACAAGTGCACAGGGAGCGGTCCAAACCCAGTTACCAACTTCTGCTGGTTATGACCAAGACAGCTCATGTCTAAACCTCCTTCTGAACTTTACATACACTCTCCTGCTTTAAATCAACATGAGATCCTGCACTCAAGATACTCTGAATTCTTGGGTAATAAAAACCTCTACACTACAGCCACATTTTGCTTTGTCACGCAAAATAGCTGTGACCATCTGTGACTGAATAAAGATGAACTGCAGTTGGAGAGCGCTATGAGCCGCGTGCTCTACGCTTGCTCCAAGTTCCAAACCCACCAACTGCAGTGCCTGCCCTTCAACTAAGACACTGAAGCTGCACAGTGTTGTGATACATGCAGTTTGTGAATGCCCTTTGCGTGCAGCAATGCTGTTCCCTACTCACTGAAGGCACTGGGAAGCGGTTCCATTTTACCAAGCCCCGCCCCGCCCCAAATCCACTTAAGACAAGTATGAGAAAACCAACGTGGGATCTGTCTAACTACAGGCAGTTCTGGTTGTGCTCCAGGCGGCTGGTGTGGAGCCTCAGTCCCCTGACAACCCACCGAGGGATGGCTCTATCCCAGCATCTGGAAAACCCTGGGCTAAAACCCTAAGCCAAATCAAAACCATGCTTTGCTCTGGAAATTGCCACTCTCACTGTCCAGGTTCTTAACAGAAGCTGTTACCTTGAAATCTCAAATCCAGAAGAGAGCCATTAACGGAAGTGATAATGATAAAGAACCTAAAGCTACAGCGGCAGAAAGTCCTGAGCTGATAAATGCTGTTGTTAAAAGGCCTCCCAAGGCCAGAAAGGTCCCCAGAGCACACCAAAATCTGTCTCCCAGATGGTTACATTAGAAGCTCCACTGCAGTTTTTCCTCAGAAGCAGCATTTCCGGTGTCAGAGTCACCCCTCGCAGCGTCACTCCCTTCAGTGGACACTGCAGTGGGATCATGGGAAACTCACTCCTTCCCCATCTCACATCCCCGGGTGGCTGCAGCCGCTCAGCCCTGTTCCGCTCCAGAGACACTGCTGTGCCTGGCACTGCTCCCCCCGACTCCGACAGGTTTGAGTTAATGCCTCAACACTCAGCTCTTCATCAACCACCTCCTGTAACTCCTGCTTCACTTTAAGTGCACACTGCATTGAGTTTAGATATTTAAAAATCAGCTTTAAATATATATTACTTACAAATCTTTCATATGATCCCAGACTGGTTTGGGTTGGAAAGGACCTTAAAGCTCACCCAGTTCCAACTCCCTGCCATGGGCAGGAACACCTTCCCATGAGAGCAGGTTGCTCCAAGCCCCATCCAACCTGGCTCTGAAGACTTACCTATTAACCCAACCCCCAAAACCCTGGTAGCAGGTTCAAGGTTTCTAGTTCACTGCAATGAGAACAAACTAATCTGTGCTGGGTTCAAAGACTCTTTCAGTGATGGAAAGATGCTGATTTTGGTCCCTCGGGATTAGAGCCCAGGGCAAGAACATGTGGCAAGCTGAAAAATGCTGGAATGGTTCCTGAAGACTTGAGTTTCCCGATTGGATTTACAGCAGTGTCCCAGTAAAGGCTGTTGCTACTTGGGAAAAACAAGCCCATTCTTTTTCACATGAGCCTGCCTAATGTTCCCACCTGGAAGGGGCCTTGCAGACAGTAGCAAGGGAAAGCCATTTTTCACCCTTACCTGATGCAGACTGCGTTTGGCTTGCAAGGCCGCGTTCAGCTTCTCTTCCTGCTTCACTCTCATTTTAACAACTTCATGGAGGAATTTTTCTTTGGCTTCTTTCGTATCCAGGCCACTGTCCAGGGCCTGCCTTAGGTGCTCCAGCTCCGCTTCCAGCCCGCTGCTGTGAGAGTCGGAATGTGTTGGAACTTCGTACGAACTGCTGACTGCCACTGGGGCCTGCATCCCAGGGGAGCTCATGTCCTTTGCAGAGCTGGATGAGGTGAAGGATGGGGAGGAGAGCGACGATAAGGAGGAGGTGACTGAAAACGAGAAACATCCAAAATTAATACAGAAACATCCAATATAATTCACAATATGCTGCGTCCCTGTCGTACAGAGGAGACATTCGATATTCAATGACAAAAAAAGGGAAGAAAGAAAATACCTGTTCTAAACTTTGATACTTGAAATGCGATAAAAATCAATTTGCTTGAGTTGTGACTTTGGAATTTATGTCACAATTTATGTCACGTTTTTTTTCTCCATAGGTGTGAAGAAACAGATTTCTTCAGGTTCCTACAGGGTCCTGCTGTTTTCGGTGGGTAAATGTCACCTCTTTGCATGCACCACCTGCCCTGAGCGAGGACCGGACCTGCTGAGGCCAGCAGCACAATTATCTGACACCCACATCCTCTTGCCAGAGCCTGCTGTGGGCACACTGTTTAAGAACCTTCTGGCTCCTCCTCTATATGCTCAGCTCCATGAATGTGGTACTGACACCGTGACCGTGTTCTTTGTCTGACACAAAACTCTGCTACTGGTGTGTATCCCACAAAGAGCTCTGACAGAAGCCTCTTGACCCATGGGGTTTATGTGAACACCACACACATTTTGTCCTCTGCACAACACTGACCTGTTTTAATACAATACTCCAGGTCAGTGGACACCTGTGGTTCAAAATCACAGAATCATTAGGGTTGGAAGTGACCTCTGGAGATTATCTAGTCTATGATGTCCTTCATCTCCAGGAAAACACGCCCCAGCTTCTGTTCTTGGCTTTCAATACTACTTGAGATTGCATTATTACATCTCATTGAGGTACTGAGCTTCCAAAATTGTGTTTGAACACAACAGAGGTTGAACAGCTAAGCTCTGTGCCTTGCTGAGGAAAACCCAGCAGACACAAAGCACAACGGGCTGGAGCACTTCTGCTACAAAGGTGTCCCTGCCCATGGCAGGGGGTTGGAACTGGATGAGCTTTAAGGCCCCTGCAACCCAAATCATTCTGGGATCCCATGAAAATCCAGGCACACGGAATGGTCACTCACATTCTTCCCTGGTTTCCACTTCGATTTCTGCTTCTGATTCCTTGTCCTCCTCAGGGGCAGGGGCAGGGGCCGGGGCTGCCGTGGTGGCTGCTGCCTCGGGCAGGGCTGTGCTGTCGGCTGCGGGCCTCCTCCTGCGCGGCGGGGCTGTGCTGCCGGGCTCGGTGCTGCGCGGCACGGCTGTGGCACAGGGCGCGTTGCTCACCACCTTCTGCTGCGCCGGGGGTGCAAGCGCCACGTTGGGGGCCACGGCATTCTCGAAGCTCTTGTAGGAGTAGAAACTGGTTTAGAAGGGGAGGCAAAAGAAAACAGTCACTCTGGTAGTCATCTCGGACAGTTAAAGCCAATGTCCTTGGCTTTAAACGCTTCCCAATCCATGCGCTACACCAAAACTGCAAGTAACTGGACTGGCAGCAAAGTTCCATTGACTGACACCACCTGAGACTCTGCGTGTGTTTGCTTAGTGCTTTGCACTTGCTTCAACATGGAGGTGACTTCTCCAGCTCATCATGTTCATAAATTCTTAGAAGCAGCCTTCACTGCAGGCTCCTATGGCACGTTCACCTAACAAAACCTATTCAGTGAATGCACAAAATCTCAGTACTTTTGTTCCTCTTCTGTGAATTAACTCTCTGCAGCTGCAAATGCTCTTTAATCCCATGCGAGAGGGGTAACCGGCTGAGCTGCAAAGCCACCAGGTACCAGGGCAAGGGAACAAACACACAAGTGCTGTCAAATAAATCCCCCTGGCTGCCAGCCCAGGCCTTCCTTCACATCCCACTTCCTTACCTGTCCCGGATCAAGGCAGGAAGGTGGGTTGAGAGATCCTTCTCATTTGCCGACACAGCTGGGGACCAGGGCCTGAAAGCCGAGAGCCGCTGGCGGGGATGGACACAGCCGATGCTCTGGGAAGGGGGGGAAAGGAAAATCAGTGAATGTCAGCAGTCTTTTAAACTCTAACCCACAATGGAGCGGTCGCCCTGCTTCTCAGCACACTCTGTTAGCTCTACAGCTTCTCCCCACTGGCGAGGACCTGCACAGTAGATCCACTGGAAGAGGTTATCTGCACCAGGGTGAAACCTGACAGGTTTTTCTCTGCCACCGAGTTACATGAAGTTTGCAGGGACCACAAAAGGCTCCTGAGTCTTGCAGGATTCTTGGACCTCAAAGGCACGAAGGAATTGCTTCCTTCATGGTCACAATCAAGGTCACAATCAAGGTCACAATCAAGGAAGATGGCGAGGAAACTGGGAAGACTGAATAGCAGTGTTTACTAGGAAAAGGACAAAATTTAGAAAACCTGGGCAAGTTCTTGCTCTCCTGGTTTCAGTGGAGTGATGCTCTGTGCTCATTTGACCTCTCTCAATTACAAAATATTCAGTAATCACCTTATTAGATGAGCTGGATAAGGACCGTAACCAACTGGACTGTTTTTCCTTCTCAGTAGAAGCTGGAGATTGGGAAGCAGAGTCATCTATTTTGGGCTTTTTGGAAGCAGGAGGATCTGAGGAGACCTGAAACAAAGACAGGCAAGAAAAATCAAAGTCAGAATTACTCATTTTGCAATCAGCTTAGAAGCAGGTTATGAGGCAAAAGCAAATTTTGTATTTAGAAGAAACACTTTGCTTTTTTTCTGCTTTTTAAACATGAGGCCAAGCAAAGGGGTGAAAACAAGGGACAGACACAAACTATGACATAAGGTGGCTTCACTCCTTCGTTTAAAGTACTCTGATAAAGTGTGGAAGGTGCAGCAGTAACGGGCAGTCAGATAAGTGAGACATTTGCACCGTGCTGCAGAGAACTATCAGCCTGTTCTCATTTCTGTAAGCAGAAAGGTGAGGTTTAACGCGGCTGCTGAGCTGGAAAGATTATTTTAAAGAGAACAGAGCAGACTTTGTTATTCTGTTTGCAGTGGTTGTTATGCTGATGACTTCACTACCCCGCAGCTGCAGTGGATTCTGGGGGTGCTGCCAAGAGCTGCTTTGCCTTTTCCACAAGTGGCTCAGCCTGGCCCATAAATCATCCTCAAGCATAAGAAAGCCTTTGGCAAACAACTCCCTTCCTTCAACACGGTGGAGGAATAAAATTCCTGCAGTCCCAGCATGGCTTGCAAAAGAATTGGTAACTACTGGTTTAACTGGGGCGTGGGGGATGCCAGCAGGAAGCCCTGCCAGGACAAACATGGGGAGGGAGAAGGTTCTGGACCTTACGCTGCCTCATGACTAGAAATAATAAGAGAAACATCCACCACAGCCGCTTTCTTTCTTCTCCCCCTTTTTGCAGTTCCAAACTCTACCTTCCTGCTGCTTGGAAGTGCTCATATTTGCTTTAAACTTTTTCATCCTTACATCTCACTGTGATTTTTGAGGGCAAACAAGTATTTATACAGGTGGGTCTGCAAAACACAGGCATGGCAACGTTCCGAGAGCCCGATATACTTCAAATCCAGGTCTATTTGCCAGCGAAGGAGAGGATTTTATTTGCCAATGTCTTGTGTCTGAAAAGCAGTCCCCTTCAAGGCATCTTAAATTGGGAATGTAAGAGATTGCTTCCCCAAATGACTATTCACTCCTACAAACTGCAGTCTACGTGACCTTACCTGGAGAGCGCATGAGGGACTGGAAGCAGAACTGATCCAATGCACTTCTCCAGACTCCCAACTGACTTCCAGCAGACCCAGCAGCTGTGTAAGCAGAGCAATGCCATCCCTTCTGCACACCTCCATTAGGAAAAATCACGGCCTCAGCCAATGCCAAATGCTAGCTTCAATGGATTTGCGGAGGATTCTTTTGGCACAGCTTCAGGCTCCCCTAGGGCTGGCTCGGGAAGGGGCTATGGCACAGTCCCTCCCACCTAACTTGCCTCAGAAAACGCATTTCTAGACTCTTTTAGTGGGACAATGCATTGGAAAAGATTTGTTTTTGCTTTCAGAGATGCTGCCTGTGCAGAATTAGTGACAGCATTCAAAAGGTATTTGGCAAGTGACTACTGATCCCAGCCCTCTCCATGGGGATGTGAGCTGTGTGGGGAGGGGGCCAGAAGGAGGGCGGGAGGAAGGGGGGCTTGGAATGGAAAAGGCAACAGGTGGCAAGGCTCAGCATGGAAACAGTGTCCCGTGAGCGGGGGGAACGGCAGCGCCCACTCGCAGGCAGGCTGCAGGGGAGCAGTGCCACAGAGGAGCCTCACTGAGTCTTTAAATGGGTCAGGGCCCAGCTTTCCCCACTGTCTCCCCTTCTCTCCCTTTAAATCAAGGCTGGCACCAACCATCAGAAGGGCTCTGAGCACATTTCTGGAGACCTGGGAAGTGATGCTTAACCTTCTGTGTGAGGAGCCAGCATTGATCTGGGAACAGGAGCTGGCTGCTGGGAAAAAAGAGAAGTAAACAAGGTGTGTGCAAGGGGGAACGATGGGTTTGTTTCCTCACAATGAGATGGAAACGGGGAGAGAAAAGTGAGGTGTGCAGATTGTTCTGATGTTCAGCCATCTCCCACTGCAGGACTCTGTTCCTCACAGACCAGTGCTGCCTGAAGGGATGAAACTCTTCAGCTGTGCTCCGGAAAGCACCCCTGCCAACAGCACTTCTGAGCTGCTGTGATGGCTGCTGCTGGCTTTCCCTCCATCTACTGTCCCTTTTTGTTTACACACATCATCTCCTGGTTGTTCTGGTTTTAAAGCCTGTCCCAGTACAGTATCTAGGTTCTGTTTTAACTATGTGAGAACGTAACAGCTCTAGTAGTGTCCCACCTGGTCTATGAAACACCAAGGCACTACGTGTTGCTGTTAGTCAAGAAATGGAGGTTCATCTCCAAAACTCATGGAACAGGAGGCTCCTGACCACAACCTGTAATCATTTGGTTAAATATTTGCTCTTCTATATTCCTACCTATGTGGACATGTCATTGAAAACACTTTTGCCCCCTCCCTCTGCAGAAATACTGTGGCTGTCAAGAACGAAACAAAAAATCCCCCCACATGTAACCAAAGTAGGTCTCTTTCTTTGTGCAGCCTTCCAACACTGGAAGAGGCAGAAGCAGAGCTGCTCACAGCTATAGGAAGACACCCAGATGCGGAACAAGACTAGACACTGAACACAAAATCTTCTCTTCACATGACTCATGGATTACATCCCACTCTAGGACGGATTCCAGGTAACAGCATACCCCACTCTGACACTTCCAGCCCAGCCACAGCAGCCAGCAAACCCTGGTATTGGCTCAAATCTGATGAGTTTATTTCATTTCCTCTCTTTGCCAAATAATGAAACACATAAAGTTGCAAAAGAAAGACTGAAAATCTGATGTAACTTCTTTGCCTTCCTCAGAAGTGACTTATGAAGAACTGGAGCCCAACCCCTAGAAGGCTGGAATAAATATTTCTTCATTTCCTATTAATTTTTCCTTCCATTAGAGGCAACTTAATGATTTGTTGTCAAATGGGCTTTACACTGGGCAAAGCGTAAACACATTTTGTTAATACACATCTAACCCAGTCCACAGATGCAAGAAGCTTCGTGATAAAAAGTGGACCCAGAAATGCATCTATTTAAGCTTTGGACTCTTGTTTTCTGAAACTACTGATTTTTGAGGAAATGCAGATACAGAGAGATTTATAAAGTTACTAAGAAAAGATTTCAGAAGTACATCCCAAAGGGAAATCTGGGCATGTGAACTTGCAGTCAGCCATTTTAAGGCAAACTGAAATCAAGAGGCCCAATCTGGCCTTTGGCCAGCCAGGGCCACATTTGAGATGTCAGAGCACGTTTTCCACTTCAATTACATGTCACAGTCACCAACCATAAGACCAGGAGAAGGAATTTTTGACCCCCTCCTCAAGAAGACAAGTGCTCCTTCCCCCCTGCTCCGCACTGTCCGCAGGCAGCAGTGCACCAGGGCAGCCTGAATGCCGCTTCTTGTTGCGACATAGAATGGAAAATGAACCCAGAAGAGAGTCTTGAATGTAAAGATTTGGGAGAGCTCAGGGACATGATTCCTATCACCTTGGAAATGTGGATGCCATCCCAGCATCAGTCACGGCATCCTATGTGGTGGCATCTTTAGGAATGAAAGACTTAATGTCCCCCAAAGCTATAGAGCTACCCCAACACACAGAAATGTGTATTTCAGTCTCTTAAAAGATTAATTGGGAAAATACTGCGAGGCTTAAGAATTCAATTTCATATTCCTAACTTAGGCATAAATCACATCTCCATTGAAAACTTCACAGTTAGAAAAGCATGTACAGCCAGAGCAGGCAAAATGAACAGAAAAGGGCTGTAAATCTATAAATACCATAGTCTCATTTGTTCAGGCCACTGCTCCTGCTGCTGGTCCATGCAGAGCCGAGAGCAGTTACACCCTGAGGAAGGGAGGGGCTTCCTGTCTCAGCTGATACTCCTCTGGGTGTGAAAATTAAGCAGCTTTCTCACTAGAGGCACAAACCACAAGACCAGACACCAGTCTGATACAAGCAAGGAGAAACCCCAGAGAGAGACTGCTTGGGTTCAAAATGTGTCAGACATCAAGAGATAAATACACACTGAAACAGCAAAAGGCTGACAGTGAGCACATCACACAGCTCACATCAACTGCACTGCAGTGGGACCCAACCACTGTCTCCACTGGGCTGTTACTTACCTGGACAAGGCTCCAAGGAGACCTTGGTCTTCCAGTACCTAAAGGGGCCAACAGGAAAGCTGGAGAGAGGCTTTGGACAAGGGCTTGTAGGGACAGGCCAAGGGGAATGGCTTGAACCTGCCCGAGGGGAGACTGAGCTGAGCTCTTAGGCAGAAGCTCTTCCCTGTGAGGGTGCTGAGGCGCTGGCACAGGGTGCCCAGAGAAGCTGTGGCTGCCCCATCCCTGGCAGTGCTCAAGGCCAGGTTGGACACAGGGGCTTGCAGCAAGCTGCTCCAGTGGAAGGGGTCCCTGCCCGTGGCAGTGGTTGGAACTGGATGAGCTTTAAAGGTCTCTTCCAACACAAACCAGGCTGGGATTCTATGATTGATTCTACGGTTATTTAATAAAATTTTCCTGTTAAAATCTGTCATCTGAACATTTTAGCTCATATTTACTCATTTACTCCAAGGGAATCTGGAATGCGGCAAACATCTAACCCAGCAACTGTCCTACAGAGGGGGGTAAAGGTGCAATACCCAAGGAGCGATGAACAGTATCTGCACCACAGGCCATGGAGACACTGAGACTAACCAAACACCTATACTCAATGAAACTTTCCTTCTTAGGTAAACTGCAGAGGAAAGATGATTTTGTAGAGGACACAGGGTGGAACACAAACAGAAAAGAGCTTGTGACTCTGATCCTAAGCAAATCATTTCCACTACCCTCCCCTGGGAAACTGACACTAATTCTGTTCTACCTCAAAAGATGTATCAAGACTAAAACCCTCTGACACTACAGATACAGCAGTAAAAATGTTACACAAGTGTCTGAAGATTTTCACCTATTCCCATGTACCTTTCCAGGCAACTGCTCTGTGTTCAGCTACAGGATCCCCAGAT